AACTGCATTCAGCATTACTACGGCTGAAATCCTGTTCTGTAAGTTACATCAAGTAAGGCAGATCACAACAGCAGCAGCATTTTTTCTCAAACATTCTAGTATCTCTCCTGAGGCTCCCATGTTTTCACATTCCTTGTCAGGGAGCTGTTGGAAGTGGAGGGAGAAGTCTAATTACCAAAATCATTGGTGCTAATGAAAGTGATTACACAGGAGCCTTTGGGAGAGAAGTTGTAGATGTTTAATTTCTGAAAATTCTCTGCTGACAATACAGTGGTGCCTCGCTTAATGATTGCCCAGCATTACGATGAATCCGCTTTACGACAATCTTTTTGCAATTGCAAAAAGGTTGGTCTAAATGGGGGGATTTCGCTTAGCAACAATTGGTTCCCTGATTCGGGAACCGATTTTCGCTTTACGACGATCAAAAACAGCTGATTGTTGGGTTTTCAAAATGGCCACCGAGCGCTTAAAATGGCTCCCCGCTGTGCTTAGGGACGGATTCCTCGCTATACAGGCAGTGAAAATGGCCACCGTATGGAGGATCTTCGCTGGACGGTGAGTTTTTACCCCACTGGAACGCATTGAATGGGTTTCAATGCATTTCAGTGGGGTTTTTAATTTCGCTTTATAATGTTTTTGCTTAATGACGATTTTACTGGAACGGATTATCGTCATTAAGCGAGGCACCACTGTATCATGAGCCATGTGTGCTATATAACTTAACAGCAACAGGATTTCAGGCAATGTATGGGAAAATATTAGAGAAGGTAATATTTATGTATATGTATCCTTCAATTGTCCTTTGACCAGTTAACAGTGAAAGTGGGGGGAACTTGACTACAACCAGGTTGTACTGATGGACATTGCTATGGAGTAGCACTGGGAAAAAGCTATTCTTACTGTTTGTGGGAGTGCACCCCAGTCTGACCCATCGAATAAAGGCCTGGGCAAAGATGGAAGTCTATAGACAGAGACTGGCCACAGAGGAAACAATGGTACATACCACTACATCTCCTTGTTATGACAAATGTGTTCCACAATGGCACTGTATGGACTTTTCTTCATGGCTGCAGTCCTATGATTATTTCCCGGGATACAGAGCCCTTGAACTGTTTAGACCAGTTGTCCCCATCCTTGGGCCTCCAGATATCCCTGGACTATAACTCCCAGAAGCCTTCACCACCACCTCTGCTGGCCAGGATTTCTGGGAGTTAAAGTCCAAGAACATCTGGAGCCCAAAGGTTGGGGACCACTGGTTTAGACAGCTGTGCACCATGCTTGCTTTCAAGAAATACTCTGGGTGTCTACTGAGAGTATAAACAGATCACGAACTATAATCAGACAATTCAAATTGGCTCCTGGTTAAGTTGCACTTAGGAGATAGAAATTAATGTTAAAATTTAGTAATCAGTCAGGTCCCAAGTAGAAATCAGGTATAATTAATGCACCCTGTGTCCATTTCATAAAGAAGCTTATTTGTAACTTTGATGTTTCCATAATGTGTTCCTGATGTCATGTCCATATATTGGAATGCATATACGTAATGCTATTAGAAGAAATACAGATTTCCTGGGGGTCCCCACCGCCGCAATCGGCACCTTTGGAGGTCTCAAAAGACTTCCCCCCCAACATCGGAGGAAGCCATTTGAGACCTCCAAAGCCAAAAAGGCAGGGAGAAAGCGCAAGAAATTGGAAGTTCCAGCCCTTTCCCCCTGCCTTTTTGCCTTTTGAAATGCTGGAACGGATTAATTCCGTTCCCATGCATTTCAATGGAAAATGGTACTTCAACTTACAAACTTTTTGACATACTGTACGAATGTCGTTCCAAAATGGATTAAGTTCGTAAGTCAAAGTACCACTGTATTTTCAAATGCTTTTTTGCACAACACGAAAATGCCATTTAGAAGCCACCTTTTCCCCAATGAAAACTGATAAACTGACCCTTCTCCTGACTCAAATGGCCTGGTTCGTAAAGCCTCCGTCCTCTGTGTTATAAAGTATCACAGCACTTTCAACATGTCTAAAGAAAACACCCTTCTCAAAATGTAATCAATTCATAGAAAGCTTTTGGTTCAGCATGTTTGTGTTCAGGGCTTTCCCTGACCACTTTTGTTCCACACTGCCAGGAAAACTAGCTGTTAAGGGCCATACCCTCAATAGACACATTATTCAGGCCTTATAATAATAGTAATAATCTGAGAACTGCTTTGCTTGAAGGAACCCTATGGATTATTGAGTCCAACCCGTCAAGGGGGCACAGTGGGAAATCAAACTCCCACATAAACCACTAGGCTATCTGCATATAGTATACTACCCTATAATGTTATGGTTAGTTCCAGCTCCCCCAATGTTTTCTAGTTACATAGGTATCAGTGGAACCTCAGTTCTAGCTTTACTCCAGGTGTAATAGACACATAGAATCCATGCATATGACATTCTCAAGCAACTCCTCCAGTGGCAACTCATACCATCAACAGTACAAACTTGCCATTGATTTTTTGCCAAAACAAACCCTATTGCTAATGGAAACCACTGGTGACTATGAGCTAAATTGCCTTTACTACATACAATACATTGAATTACATAACACGAGGTAAATGTGAAAGTCGGTTATATAGAATTGCAAGATAAATTATGTCTACAGTACATTCTTGAGGTGGGAGTGGGTTATGCACCCTTTATCTGATTCTAATTGTTGGGAACCCTTGTTAAGATTTGGTTTTACCAGTGACACTTCCCCCACTCCCATGAGTCTTCATGGCCAAGCAGGGTTGTAGGGATGGGAACTCAAGTCATAGGACTCACTGTCAAGTCAGACTTGAGTCACATTGGTGACTAGACTCACAACTCAAAAACCACCCACCTTTTTTCTGGGTGGGTGGGAAAGCTTGTTTTCAACAGGGAC